AACGTGCTCTTAAGAGGGTTGGCAGCAGAGGTAGTTGGCAGGCGGGGGGGGGCGCCTCCTACTACTACTACTACTACTACTACGACGACTACGACTACGACTACGACTACGACTACTACTACTACTACTAGTACTACTACTACTACTATCGCTGCTACTACTCCTTTTGTATGATTCCATTTTGTCACGATTTGAACAGGACTTTGCTGACATGTAGCACCAATTTTGGATTCTTTTTTGATGCTTGTTTCGTGAGGCATTATTAGGTTTTGCCTAGGTAGCACCAATTCTGGATTTCACTATTTTTTGATCCTTATTATTTCGTGAGGTATTTGTAGGTTTTGCCTAGGATTTTCATAGGATTTTAATTAATAGGATTGCAATATTTATTTTTTGATCCTTGATTTGATGTTTTCTTGATCCTGAGGCTTAATTCTTGATACTTGTTTAATGTTTTGATCCCTCACCCAAGTTGAGACACGACCGAATCCCACAAGAGGGCACGCACGACTGTCCGACAGATAGGATAAAGAACACTTCAGCAACTTGAACAAAATAGGACTGAGAATGATAACTAGATGACTGGCAAGACATGCGCACGAAGACTTGGTGTTCAGTGCCTGTGTGCAAACTTAAATCGACAACACAGTTTGTTACCTGGTAGTCCCCGCGGACCAAGCATGGCCCTTATTGCTCGTCTCGGAGGAAGTGCGGACATTGGAAGCCGCCCAGATCTCATCACTGCCGATGGCTCTGGACGTGTGTCGTGTTGTCCTTTGACTCAGCCGTTCAAGGTTTGAAACATTGCCTGAGGTAGCATGAGCAAGCGGTGCATTCTTCGCCCGTGCCCCAGCAATCAAAGCAGCTCGGTGTTGTGAATCGCTGTGGAAGGCATGGATCACTACTGTCCCTTTACTGGGAACTGCATCGGCCTGCTCGTGCCTCAGTGGTCCAAGACGAGCTCAATTGGTCTGTGTAGAAAACCCAGGAGAAACCATGGCCACTTCATTCTCTTCTACGTTTTCTCGTCGCTCTGCGACAGAATTGTGGCTGTGAGCTTTTCGGGTGGTCAACACCTTCAGGTTTCTGGGCTTGTCGTATTCGTTGGTGCTGCCTCGCGCTGAGCGCGGTTTGGGGCCTTGCTGTGCGCGCTGCCACTCGTGCTCCTGCCCGAGGTGCTTCGCGGCTGTCTACAGAGCGGGCTATTTTTCGCGCTTCACGTCAACTGCCGTGGGGAGCTTTGTCATCTCGCTTGGTGTAAAGCGGCTCAGCCCATGCTTTTTTGAGGGTGCCAAGCTTTACGAGAACCAGCGGTGGTTACTGGCTTAGCATGACTTTGACCCTCAGAAAACGAGCATGGTTCTAGTTAGACTAAATCCTTTCGTTGGTTTCGCAGTAGTTGTCGTGTCCATCTTTTCTCGCCATAGGACCAGATCCGTCCCCTTGTTTCACAACAGACCTCGCACTGTCCACGAGAAACTTCGAGGATGCGATCACAGACGACAAACATGACTGGAAACTGTGACGAAATCTGAGATAGCTGCAAACAGCAAAAAAACAGTAAAAGGCTGCACTCTTGGCCGGCTCGGCCAACCGATTCTTGGCTGCCGCTCGGACGGAGGATCATCATAGCAGCATAGCACGCGAGGCACAGGTGCTGCTTCACCACCAGGAGAAGAAGACACTGAACTGCGGCTACGTTTCTCTGAACATCAACTTTCGGCTGTGTCAGAAGCTCTGAAGCAAACAGCATCGACCGCCTCCACCCATCGTGAGACGGAATGCTCCTCAAAGGCCTCAAGGGCTATAAGAAGGCCAGCGTGGCCTCATCTCCGCCTTCCACAGGTGCTTGCTTTTAGAGCACTCTGTCGAGGCCTTAGTCACAGGATCTCGAACAGGCCGAAGCTGAGGGAAGGGCAGGGAGACAAATGTAAAGCGCGCAGTTCGACGCCGAGTTTCGTATCAACACAAATTGTCGAAGAGGACAACACGTGGCCTCGTTTCCTGAAGCATCTTCCAGACGAAGTGCTTCCTTTTGTGCCGATCTCGCGTCGAGGGATTGAGCTGTGCTTCCTGCGTACAGACTCCCGCGCAGCGTCGCGGCCTGTGTCTTGATGTGTCTTGCACTCTGGCCCCGGCCTTCCTCTGCTCTTGGTCTCGCGGCCGAAACCGGTGCTTGCGTTGCATTCAGGATCGGCCAGCAGACGCACATGATCAGCAGTGCCTCCGCAGCACTTTTGTGTCGCCATGTGCGTCGTGTCGCGGCGTCGCTGCAGCTTCAGCCTTTGGGCTTTTTGCGGAATCAGGCTTGAACACCTTGCTGCTCTCGGCACTGATGGAGGCCGGAGGGTTTGGAGGATCTAGAAGAGTCTGAGGGTCTCTGAGAACCTGCGGAGACTCGGTCCGAGTTGTCTTTGGCCGCATTAGAGGTGCTTCACCGCAACGGCATCACCATTCTGGTGCAGCTCGCAACATCCTCATGGGCTGTGCAATGCAGTGCGAGGGAGGAGAAGCTACTGAGGGGGCGAGCATCATCGCCATGATTGCTGTTGCAGCCACCGGCACGCCAGCCCTGCACCTGGCATGTTCCTGCCTCGGAGAAGTGTGTCACTTTGAGAACCGTCGGCCAGTCGTCGCACCAGCTCCATAGGAGCCGAGGGCATGTCGCATGAGAAAATGCAAAAGCTTGGCTTAAAAGGCTGCAGGCATTCCTATGAGGGGTGCATGCGGAGCACACTCTTCAGTTGTCAGGCTGCACGAGGAATCGCTTGCATGGAGGATTTTGATCATTCCGATGGAGGAAAGCAGCTGTGCTGAGATTGTGGACGGCAGCATCCAAACAGAAGCGGGTTCGCCAGATCCGGATGAGCGCCGAACATCCTTTGAGTCACTGCCGCGCATACTGCACCAGAAGCGACCCAGAACCCCAACCCCCTCGACCGTTGTGGCAGCAGGGTGGCCGTACCAGTACTTTTGCAATAGGCGATGCTTTCGCACGATGCATATCTGGGTAAGTATGGCAAACTAAAGCATCTCGACCCGTACAGAGTCTCGGAATCATCCTGGGCCGCACGTCCTTCCCTCACCGTAGTATCTCAAGTTGTGAACCCGCAGGAACTGTCGAAGATCAGAGCTCCCAGCAAACTCAAATCAGCAGGTTCTAGCGGGCAAGCCGTGATCATAGGATTTTCAGCATGGTGATTGTTCATGCAACTCGTTTCAAGGGACCAATACGACCACCATGGAGAGGCTATTCCCAATGAAGGCGCGGCAGTCTCAAGGAGCTTTCAAAGCAGAGTCGGCCTCGCGAGGAATACGTGCAGTTGAAGGAGCAGGCCTGGCTTTCTCTCATCATGTCTTCCTAGCTTTTTCGCCTGGGATCTGTGAGCTCAAAGGTGTACTGCCCTGTTGGCCCCGGCTTCTACCGTCGGACCCTCAAGTTGCTCTCTGTCTTGGCGCCTTGTCGCTCTGTTCCCAGGTCGGGCTGGCACGGAGAATCTCGAGGTCATCCTTGGATCCAGGCTGCCGTGAAGCAGCGAACAAATTCTTCACAAGTGTGTTGCGTGCTGGCTTGGGTTCGTTGAGGTTTGGGTCGGTTGAAGTGAAACAGGACAACCCGCACAGACAACGCACGGAGCCACTGTGTCTTGGTTTCGTTGAGGCCTGAACTGGGCACGAGGGAAGCGCGGGGATGCACAGGGCAAGCGGAGCGGTGCGGCAAACGAGCTGCTGAGGCGACCCAGAGGGTGTAAATGGAAGGTTCCACGGGCTAATGGACAGGCAATGGAGAGCGATCTGAGGCGGTCCTTGTGTCCGCCGTCGTTCCTGTTCCCACTGGAATGTGGTGACGGGCGACGGGAAACTGGAAATTGTCGAGATGAGCACCACCTCTGCCCTCTGCTCCTTTTGTCGTGGCTCGTGTCGTGGTTGTTCAAGTACACCACAGCACGATAGCTGATGGAACTTCGGCTCTTTGCAGCCTGTGGCTCACTTCGGATGCATGCTGCACATTCATACGACCTGTAGACGAGACAGGTGGTGGCTCCGCTTGCTTTTTCCGCTTCGTGGATCTGTTGACGTAGGTGCGGCTCTTCTCGCGTAGCGGACAGCCTTGTTGACGGTATCCCGCTCATGCCTTTCCCTCCAGGTGCAGCGCTTACACCTCGTCCAAGTGCAGAAGGCACTATCCCAGTGGTTTTATTCCAGAGATGCATTTGGGAACCCTCGCATGTACCACGGGGTGAGGGTGGACCCAGTACGGAACCAGAGGTTGGAGAAAATTCCAGACGATTTCCCGAGCAGGAGAGCAGTGTTCAAAGGATCCCTTGGAACAGACATCCCTGCAAGTAGGATCAACGACAAGCAAGCGTAGGCTGGGACTGGTAGCTGCTTGATCCTTCTGAACCAAGTAGAGTGCCTCTGACACCCGTCATTGAGCGGTACAAAAAACGGGGTGTCAATGCAGCAAAGTGCATCGTGGTGAATCTCTAGCAGACCTCGGCGCCGGCAGGTTCTCGGGCACTCTGGGATCGCATCCAGCAAGTGAAGGCCGCTCTGGGAGTGCTTGTTCTGCGCTTCTTTTCCATCCCACTCCGCTGAGCCCTGCGTGCAGAGTGCGGCACACTGTGCGGGCAGGAGCAGGGAGTGCGACAAGAGGTGCGGCCCGGGTGCCCAGATTGCACCCGCCGCTGCTTCAGCCTCTCAGTGCAGCTTCCGCTCCGCTGCCGAGGAGCTGCCAGGAGCTGGGCTTTGATCCCGGGCCCGCCACGGCGGCGCAGAGCAGCGTCTGAGCCGCGCTTAGCGCCGGCCGCGATCCGCAAGGAAAAGAAAGGGACTCTGCTGGCTGTGACAGCATGCTTCGACTTTGGGCAACGAACTGCAGCTGTGAAGGAGGGCACACTTTTTTTGATATCTGCTACGATGTTCGCGAAAGTGCATTCACAAGCTGATCGCAGCAACTTTGCAGAATGTTTTTTCGATGACATCCATTAATACATCGCGGAAGCGGCGTCCTCGGACTTGCCGAGCCAGGAATGAGGAAGGCCACGCCTGCAATCGGATCCAGGAGATACTAGGAATCGCAGCAGACTGTGCAGGCCAGTGCAGAGCAAGAGCAAGGCGGAAACCCTGGCCACTTTGCTTGAGATTCAATGAAAGCGATTGCGTGCAGATGCGCGACACCTGGTCTGGGGGAGACCTGAACTTGAAAGCTCCAGCTCGGCCGGGTCCTCTGGGGCACGGGTCCGGCAAGGGGAACGTTGGTTTCAGACACCGGGGCGGGGGGGGGGGTCGCATTTCATGTCAATTTCCGGCCCAGGGCGAGTGCAAATTCACAATGTCAGGGCAAATTCTGATGCAAGCCTGGTGCAAAACAAGTCGCACTGGCGAGATTGATCAGGCTATTCCTGCTCAGTGTGTCCTGTGAGGTTCTGCGATTCTTCGAGCTGGAAACTTCTCAGGCGCGCCGCATCTGCCATCTCAAGCTTTTGAGTAGGATGGTAGAAGTCGGTGATGTCGTCTACTTAACCCTGCGGGGAGATGGTGCAGACCTGCTGGTGAGCGGATGGATTGTGGCACAGCCAGAGAACGACGTGATAGTGGGGATAAAGGACAGTGCACTCAGCAGCATCACTCAGAAGCAGGTCATCAAGAGCGGTGACGTTTCCATATCCTTTCTGCGAGTTCCTTCGGAAGCTGTGACTTTGACAAGGCCGGCTGGATGGGGAGGCCTGAAGCCTCGGGACCTTCCAGCTTTAGGCGTTTGTATGTCGGCTTGGAAAAAGGGGTCGGCGGGAGACATAGCCAGCAGCGAGGCGGAGGTGCCGGGAGGACCGAGTGCCTCGACAAGCAGGGCACAGCCCGAGGCCAGCCGACGGCTTGGTCGGGAGCTGCGGGGCTTGAGCAAGCTCTCTGGCGACAACCTCGACGAGGAGGAGGAGACGGACGAAGACGAGGAGCCCTCCGAGAAGGGAGGATACCTCCCACCGGGCTTGAGCACCCAGAAGGCGAAGAAGAAGAAGGACAAGGCGGCCGGATCTTCAGCAGATGTTGGGGACATGAAGCAACTGATGATGAAAGGCCTGACCTCAGGAGCCGATACCAACAGCATGCTCCAGATCATGATGATGTCCATGCTGCTGGACAAGTCCAAGAAGGACGGGGCCAAGACGAGAAAGCACGGCCGATCAGCAGGATCAGGCGATCTCCTTGGTGGCTCGTCCTCCGAAAGTTCGGACGACGACCTCGACCTCGACAGGCGCGGGATGAAGGCAGTCGTGACCTTGCGGAAGCTGCACGAGGAGATCAAGCGACGACCCAGGCGTGTCTGGGAGAACTTCGAGAAGGAGATCATCGAGGAGCTGGGCGTCGTCCCGGGACAGGCCTGGACGGTGAAGGACTATGTCCGGAAGCAGAGCTGGGGTCGGTTCAAAGGACTGTATCGCTGCGCGATGATGGACGTGGCCGTGTACGAGCTTCTTCGTGCGGGCAAGGCGGAGGAAGCTACGGCCCAGACCGTGCAGAACCTCAA